TTCCCTCTTATGAGCACACATCTTTTATTTTCTTTTAGGGGTGGGCTGAGACAGGGCTTTGCTATGTAGTTCATGCTGGTCATAAACTTACTATGTAGTCCCTGGCCTTGAACTTGCCGCAATCCTCTTGGCTCAACCTCCTGAATGATGGTATTACACATATGTGCCACCACGTCCACAGCACACACATCTTTTAGGGTGATGAAATTTGATTTATCTATTTTTCTTCTGTTGATTATGCCTCTCTCTCTTTCTCTCTCTCTCTCTCTCTCTCTCTCTCTCTCTCTATATATATATATATATATATATATTTTAATCTGTATAATTTTAAAGAAGCCATTGTTTAATCTAAGGTCACAAAAATGTACACCTATGTTTTCTTTTAAGAGTTTTACAGTTAAATTTTGAGCATGTGAATTGTCCAAAAGAAATTAATTTTTCAGTACTTTTTGCTCTTTGTGCACATGTTGATTTCTTAACGGTAAAGGCTTTGTTAAAGATAGTGTTCTGTCTTGAGAATATTTTCATGGAATAAAACATTCTTTCATGGAAAAACAGAAGAAGAGTTTTACAATTTAGTTCTTTGTCTTTGTGTTTGGTAGGTGTAGATTCATTTGGTGCAGCTTATTCTTTTCCTGTTGAATGGTTGTGGCACTTGTCAGAGATCATTGGACCGCAGATGTAGGTAGGCTTAATTCTGGACTCTCAGTTCTGTATCAGCGACATATAGCTGTACTATTAGAATTGTGGTTACATTTTCTTTGCTTTTGTGTATTTATTTATAACATAGCACATGTGTAGCGGCAACTATTCTAAGGATTTTACATGTGTTAACATTTTTAGCGAAGTTAAATACTTGGAGGGAAAAGTTAGGGGACTTATTAATTTATTTTTTCTTGGTACCAAGAGTCAAACTTAGGGACTTTGCGCTTGCCAGGCAGGCACTATTCTGCTGAGAGACCCCCCCCTGGCCCAAGTGACTTAACTTTGAAAAGTTAAATGAATCTGTGCATGTGTGAGTGCATGTGTGTGTGTGTGTGTGTGTGTGTGTGTGTGTGTGTGTGTGTGTGAAGCCGTACCTTCTAGGAGATATTTGAGGGGAACAAATCTTATAATTTTAACTTGGAGTTCTTGAAAAATAGTTTTGGCAAACAGTTAAATTTTTAAATTTAAGATATTGGTGACGGTGTCAATGAACAAAAAGAAGGGGGTGGTATGTGTCAACTCAGCTTTATGGAACTTTAATGTTTTTATCTTTTATCTTTTAATTACCACAATTCTTGTGCTGTGTGATCTGACACATTGTCTCCCTGTCCTGTGAGTGGTAGCTGAGGAAAAGGATGCTACAATGGGAGGATGTTTAAGGCATCAAATCAAAGCCCCTTATGGTATGTAAGTTCCATGAAGCCAAGACCTGTGTTCTCCATGTGCATTGTGGTGTCTCTATATAATGACTTATGTAGAGCAGATTTAAAATAAAGTGTTTTATTAAAAATGATTGGAGGCCAGGAGCTGGGGAGGTAGCTCAGCAGTCTAAGCAGCTGCCAGGCAAGTGCAAGGACCTGAGTTTGATCCCTGCTGTGCAAACCACCAAAACCAGGTATGTTGGCACATGACTAAAATCCCAGTGCTGGGGAGGCTGAGACAGGAAGATCACTACGAGTCTTGAATAGCGAGACCCTGTACCAAATGAATGAATGAATGAATGAATGAATGAATGAATGAATGAATGTCAGGTGAGGGGCATATGCCTAGAATCTCTGCATTCCAGAGGCTGAGGTTGGAAGATTGCTGCAAGTTTGAAGTCAGCCTGGGCTACAACGTGAATTCAAGACCAGCTGCATTGCATAGTGAGACCCTGTCTTAAAGAGATAAAGCAAAATAAAATAAAACAAATGAATGTGTAAACACAAGGCTGGAATGGACTTATTTTGAGTTTTGGTTTCGTTAGTAGTGAAGATAGTACTGTCTAACCAAGCAACGTA